ATGTATCCTATTTTCCCCCTAGCAGTGATGTAGAGTTTTATTCCCCTAGACCACTCAAGGTAGTTCAGACCATCAAAGGGAATAACAGCCATGGGGAAATTCATATCCATTCCCCCACTCACTCGATTGTGGCTCCCTGAAATCTCTGAAGTAGCAGAATTCTCATGGTAAGCACAAGATTTTTTTATCTTAACTCTCAACTTAGGATCCCTCCTTATATCGACAAAAGCTCCACACGCAACAATTCAGTTCTGGACTTTATCTGAGCACAAAAAACAGCACCAATTTCCAAAGAAGAACTATGACGAGACTGATTTTCACCACAGCATTAATCAATAACGTGTAAGTTCCACYACAGCATTAATCAATAAGAGAGATCCTAACACACATGAAATCAGACTAACKRGCARAGAAAACAGGTCATCTATGACCTACAGTCACCTTTTCATAGGTACAGGATCACACGATCCAACAAATAAAAAATATAACCCTCACAAAAGTCTGCCGACCAAGGAAAGAAATAAAAGAAGAAAGAAAACTTTAGGGTTGTACCAGTTGCAGATCTGATTTGATAAGCCCAGATTCAGCAACTTGAAGAGAAAAAACTTGGTTGCCCAGATTCAACAGCCTTGCTCTATACCATCTTGGCAATAAATCCGATTGAAATATGAGGAAGTAGAGAAGAGAGAAAAGGAGAAGGAAGAAAGGAAGAAGAAAAGGTTTGGAGCAATAGAGCAGTGCTGGCAGCGCCAGTTTCTATTATATTATACAGGGTGGCAGAAATAAGAAGGGAAAAGACCCTTTTGCCCCTGCTGTAAGTGAGTACAATAACAGAAATAACAGAAAATGAAAAAACGCTTTAACTAGCCAAATAGACCCTAACACAAATAACTAAACTATTTCAACAGAACACATGAATCTTCAAGAACAAGGTATGGTTATATTACAAAAAATAAAATAGCAAAAACACATGGGAGATTGTGGGATTAAAGGCTAAAAACTGTTATTTTGTTCTAGTTTCAATTAATATGTGTCTGAATGTTTAGTTGATTGAATTGATCAAAAAAACTGTTTAGTTGTCATAAACAAAAAGGTATTTCGTTCGGCAGGCAATCAGACCATACACGTTGAGCTAAAATGACACTGTAATTATTGATTTATTCAAAGTTATTATTTTAGCTCGAGTTCCTGAATGTAGTCACCAGAATCGGAAACCAACACTGCCAACAGATCCGGAGTCAAAATGTCAAACATTATTTTATGCATTGAAAAAAATAAAAGATGATTATATAAATATGTCATAAAATTTTGCTTTTTTATTGATATTCAAAAAAAAAGAAAAAGATGATGATATGAAAAAAAGTTACAAATGAGAGCACGATTACACAAGTAATCAGATAAATAAAGATGGCAATATGGAATTAGTAGTTTGACACGTGGGTATTCATATTTTGTTTTCCAACTAAACAATTGGTTATAGACACATCATCACCATCATCTAAGCCTTGTAAGTTGTAATATATGAAGCAGCATATTATGACATGTTAAACGTATACCATTATCACCATCATCTAAGCCTTGTCCCAATTATATTGGGACTGGTAGCATAATACAAGCTCACGCTGGTGGAGTTATGTTAAACATAAATCTAGTTTCAAAATAGTGTGCATATGTGCTGATGTTGTAAAGTACGTGATGAGGTGTAATATTAGATCTGAAAGAAATCCAACATATTCCTTTTGTGAGTTAGATGGTCAAACAAACTTAAGCTGGAAAAAGCTCCATTCTCCATTTCTAGTAAGTGAATTGGAGACATGTTGTGATGTTGAAATCCAAGTTAGGGGTGATCATGGGCTGCCTGAGCTGGGTTCCGGGTCTACAATTTTAAACATGAAATATTAAATATATATTACATATAACAAAGAATATATGTATAAAATTTATGTAATACTCAATGTAATATAAAATATTATATAATATGTATTATGTGTGTCATATTAATATTAAATAATTATATATACAATATTAAATAAAAAATAAAAATGACCTAGAAATATATGTATATATTTAATTTATAAAAATAATTGCAGGCTTGGGCTAAAGGATTGGGCCTGTTCCTGGCTCAGCCCAGAAATTTGTGGGCTCGATGTGGACTAGGGCCTGGCCAGGCCTGAACACAACCTAGGCCAATGCCTGGAATTTCCAGGTTAGGCTGAAAGTGGTTACCCCTAATCCAATTGTTCGTTCAAATCAATGTGTCAGAAGAGTCAATATGTGGTGAAACAGTCAGCATGTGATAAGTTGATAAATGTAAATAACTTGTGCAGAATGCATGTAGATATTGGTTTGGCAAGGGTAGCACACATGTGACTCATTGTCATGGCACTTGAGAGTCTGGATTTTCTCAAGGAAATATTCTATGTTGTAACACATGTACTTTATGATTATTTTCATGAGTTGATCATATAGAAATGGATTTTTTATAACAAACTTTTCTATTGTATATCAAGATTATTGATATGGCATTTTGACCGAACTGAGTATTCCACTCTATTTTGCAGTTATTTGAAGTTCAACTCGAAAATTCAGAAATCCTCCTTCGTTACTCATCTGCCCTTGTTCAAGGTGCTACAAATGTTTTCTGGTATGGATGTTAGAGATTGTGGGATCATAAATCATTAAATAAGTAGTACTTGGGAGCTTTTTTGAGGAGATGAATTTTGAAGCACTAGGATTGAATGTTTCACGTTTTGTTTGTATGTTGGCTAAGCATGTACATTTATTAATTCAACTCTTTTTTTCTTGATTACATGTTTGCACTGTGTGACTTGCTGTATGCTTAATTGCTTGTTCATACATGACTAATGTTCATTGGCAGGATTGACATCCAGACGAACAGAAGGTGTTTCTTGTCTTTATTCCATGTAAAAAATCTTTAAGCCATAAATTTCTCCTGAATCCTGCCCAACTATGTTTCCTTTATTGTCTTTCTATGGTTTTGGATTGAAGTGAATCATGAATAAATATATGATGGCGTTATTGTTTCTCCTTTAATACCCAGTATCTTCTTGAGGAGGTTGCACTTGTCCCAATGCGTTTAAACAAAATTGCTTTACAGGTAAGGCATAATTGTTCTTGGTGTTTATCTTGAAACAGCAATGTTTTGATATTTATGGTTTCTATCTACCCCCATTGTTTGTTTGATCCAATTTGTTGTGAAGCCGTGTTTTATTGAAATTTCTTCTTGATTTTCAAAGTGCTCCTTTCAACTAATTTTCAGGCTCAGAGAGATTTATACCTTGTTCTTTCCAGGTTCATGTTCTTTTACAATTTAGGTATGTGCTTTTATCATGTAACTGCATGGTAGGATAACCCAATTTATCGACCTTATTAATTTTCTCATCTTTGTTGCACTCAGTTAACAAGCTTGAGGCTCTCTTAAATCAATTTCCTATTTTTCCAAATGCTTTTTTGGTTGGTGGTCCTGCAGACATTTTTGTTATAGAGCTCACAGATCAGGTAACACAATAATATCTCAAACATGTATCTAACTAAATTTTTATGGGTAATATGGTTGACCATCTATCTTACGTTTTATACTGTTATTTATTTTTGCCAGCTTCAAAAATTGAAAGTTGAACCAGTACTTCTACATTACCTCTCTCACATGAAAGTCCTTCAAGGTACATTATTGTCTTTACCTCTAATCCCCAATTCTACATGCTGTGAAACTTTGAGATTGTCAGCGATTTAAGGTTGCTTAGACTTGGTTAATCCGGTATTTTCTAGGCTTGGAGCTGAGGATGACTACAAGTACAAGATTGAAAGCCTGCCTATATAGCTTCACCTCCCCTGGTGGTCCAATGTATCCAACAAGAGCTGTTCGTCATGCGGCCTGGGATGCATTGGATTTACTTTTCCCTGTGAGTGATTTTCTGACCAATTTACCTTAGCGGGTTAGAGAAGTCAGTGGAATCGTAATTCGTGGTTACATGGGTTTTGCATACTTCTATCATTTGGTTAATTTTTTATCCAGAACTTGTCTATGGAGGGGTTGTTTACTGATGAAAACTTGTCATAGTAAAAGTCTTCAATTTTTTATCTCTATATTCATGTTATTGAGCTGAACAAGGATGAAAGCAAAATTATGTGTTCACACTTAAATAGGATAAAAAGCTCCGTCCATTGTAGTATTACATGCATTTTGGACCCCCAAAAAAAAACAAAAAATAACATATAATTAGCCATTAACACTAAATGGGCGTAGTAAATTGCATTGTATTTTCAATTTGTATCAGAAAGATAAGTGGAAGGATGCCTAAATTGATGTAATTGAATTTTCCATTTCAAGTTTCTTTGGTTATTGACCTCCAAGTTGGTGGTATTTGTTGCAGATCGGAAGATACCCACGGCATCTTATAAGTCTGTTTTTTCGACTTCTTTACCCGTGGTATTGGCCCTCTTCATGTTGGAATTTTGTAGTGTCTTGTATCAAAGCAATACTGTACTCACTCCTGAGGATGCTTTTTTCAAGTTGGAAGAATATGAGAAAACCAAAAGACACCTAAATGTTGGAAGTCTTATCGTGTTCCAGTCATCTGTACACGTAGGATGGAATTCCATTCAGGGGCCAACTTATGCCTTCTCACTGTATCAATTGTGCTTGGTATCTTCAACTCCTTTCCCTGCGATGAATGTATTGTAAGTGACATCTCTTACGAGTAAATTGATTTGTTAGTTGCATCATCCCTTTTGGCATAGCCACTTCAAAGTTTGGTAGCCGTCATCAAATGAGCAAATTGATGAAATTTGTAAGTTTGACATGTCTGAAATTTGTTCATTTTTCGGTGTTCACATGATTTAAATACTCTAAATTAAAATTTAACATCAAATAAACATATTAAAAAAAGGTTTTTATTCTAGAAAATTTATAAGGAAATTTAAATAACAGAATAAGTATTTTAATACTTAAAATACTATGGGTATTGTGATTTGTATGAGAAAGAGAGTCCTCGTTCTTGTCAGGGATGGTAAAATTTGTGGTGCATATATTGCAGCATGCAGCAAAAGATGGTGATTGGTTGCAGGTGATGGTAATTACACCTTGTTAAATCTTGTTAACCATGAAAATATGCTTTATAAAATGTGAACTAATGAAATATAAGCAAATTAAATTTGGAAGTAGGGTGCATTCTCTAATATTGATGGGATAAAATTTGTAACACCGTAGTTGAATTCTACGAGGTCAGAGTTTTCTATCATGACTAAGAATTTTGGGATGCACAGTAGATCTGGCACGGCTAACATAAACCAAGCCTGTAACAGCAATGTTAGTATAATATAAACATCAAAGGAATAAAGTAAACTTCTACAATCTTCAACAATTTGGGTGATGCACCAAGGTGAAGAAGAATTCGCCAACAGGAACGTAACAAGAGAGATAATCGCTTTCCACCTGTATCCTCGACAAACCAACAGATTTCTTAAGGTCTAGTTTGGTTCACTGGAATAGGGATCTGGAATTGAAATTGGAATGGCCCACTCTAATTTCAATTGTTTAGTTGGGCGAAATCAGAATCGCATTCTCATGACATTCATTTATTTGAGGGAATGGCCATTCTTTCCCCCACTTTTTGGAATGAAATCTCATTCCAGTTGATTTTAATTCTCATTTTGATTCTTATCTGAACCAAACTATGGAAGTAGACCATTCCAATTTCAATTAAGGGATCTAGATTCTGATTCTGACTGGGAACCAAATGGACCCAAGAACCATGCGCATCTCCCTTGGATTAATAATTGCTTGACAATGCTAACTCATTTGGCATTTTATTTTTCTATCAAAGAGTACAAATCAGTGGAAAAAAGGTTCTCGTTTTCATATCCCATTTTATAGACAAACTTCCAGTGTTGAATCAGCGAAAAAAAGGTAAATTTTAAATAACTTTTAGCTAAATTGCATGTTTTATATGAAAAACTTGAGGCATCATAGTTTTTTGTTTTTAGTTAGAAAAATAACAAGTGGGTGTTCGGCGATGTGTATGATTTTGTTTTTAGAAACAAAAAAACGTGTATGATTTCACTAATCTACATTTGTTAGAAAAAACGATTTTTATTTCAGATAAAAATGTAGAAATAAAATATTAATAATAGAATAATTATATATTTAATAATATATTTATTATTTATATTAATTATTAAATATTTTTTCATATATATATCATTAAAATATACATTATTCATGTATTTATGTATTATATGTAGATATTTTGAGCTTAAATTTAATATTATTATTCTATTATAAAATTTGTATACATTTTCAAAACATAGGTGTAAAAAACAAAGCACAGGTGGTTATTGACAGGTCTAAAAAAGTGGGATCGAAGCTTGGTCCAAGATTTTCTTAATACTTTAAATTCATGGTTTGAATTCAAAGTGGTTGCCCTTGCCCTGTCAGGCTGTGAACAAGTTACTTGGATAATTGGACTACCTAGTAATTATTTGAAGGAAAGAAATGGTCAATTGAGATGGTTATTTATAAAATTACTGTGATGCCATGGTGCCCTGCTGCTTAACGTGCAGGGAATATAATTTTGATTGAAGGAAATTGTGGGAGAAGGCTGTTTATTATGATGGAAGCTAGAAATTTTCATAATGTTGAGACCGAGTTTGATTCCTTAGATGCCATTCACTGCGGGATTCCAAAACAGCCCAGCTGTTTTTTACCAACAGCTAAAGTTTTTCCCTCGTTAACATATTGTGATACTCTGAAGTCTGAACCATGATTAAAAATACTTGTTTTTCTAAATTTCAATCGCTTCTACATTAATTATTTTAGCATTTGGTCAAATTTTCAATACTTCTCGAGTGCGTCATGTCACAATCGCATAAAGCATAAAATGTTAAAAATACGACCAGAAATGAGTGATATCGATATATTTCTTCCATGTTATGACCAGTAATATTCACCATTCCGCATGAGTTCACAAACGCTATGAAATCATTCAGTGTTCCAAAAAGCTCGACATTCATCTGCGAGGAGTGTTTCATCGCCAGACGCCCCATACCAATACAACAAAAAAAAAATCAGAAAAATCCTTTCACGTCGATGTGAAATCTCCATAACATGCTTTCCCAAGAATCCCAGAACTAGCATGTAAAGGAGATTGTACACCCACCGATCTATAAACTACCAAAATTCAACAAACTGCCTCATTTACAGAGCACCAAAAAAAACTGCCAAAGATTTTAACAGTTACAAGATGTTATCAGATAATTTAAAAGGAAATCATAAATCTACTTTCAACGACATCTTACCTTCTTAAATCGTAGACAGCGAGCAACTCCAAACATAATACAAGTTCTGAAGCTCTGGCTTCACTTCGATTCCCATGATTGCAGCTGGCTCTTGTTATTTGCTTCTATCACCTGAAGAGCGAAGCAGTTCCAACTCCATGTACCCCGGATGTAGAAACAAGTAAACGAATTAAAGCAGTAGCAAATGAAACAAAGGGAAATCACAGTACACTCTGCAGCCGTCCATTAACCCATGTACCATGTCAAAATCAAAGGAGCAACTAACAATAAAGGGCCAAGCTCCATAAACCAGACACAAGCAGTTTTCCACGTGTTTTCTTCCTTGAGGGAGTAGCACGTTGATAAAATACACATACGTCAGGAACGCATTTATCAAGCATGACAATGGCATAGCAGAAGACTTATGAAGCCACAGGAATAGTAGTTTGACTTCAGTTTATTTGCATTGCTTCTGAATGGTACTTCTCCAAATCAGCATCAAGATCTTCTGCAGTTATCTGCTCAGCACGGCCTCTTCCCCGTCCACGGCCCCTCCCAAATCCACGGCCCCGTGGCCGTCCAATAGCACCACCCCTTCCTTGTCCACTTTTCAATCAAACACATAAAGCACAACAATCAGAAATATGAAGATGCTAATGCTACTAGAAAATCAACCATACCGAAGATGAAGTAAAAAAATAATAAAAATACAAACAAACAAGAGCAAATACCCTGAGATGCAGAATAGAGTAGCGACAAGCTAATTGACTACAAAAAATTTACCGGTTAAAATATGCTAATTACATGTCAACTTTCTTGTCAGTACTTTCTGATCTTTCTCATGGCCAACTATGGACCACACTCGATGCAGAGACATCAATGAAGAGGGATATTTGAACCTTAATACAAAAAAGTGAAAGGTTGTAAATTTGATAGGCAGACAGAATTAGCATAATGATACAACAGCTAACAAGCTGCTACTCTGAACCTTCAAGGGTGAAATACTGTTAGAAATAAAAAACGAATGCAAGGTTAATATGCCTACCAAGAGACCGTTAAACCATTATTTGAATACTGAATTAACCTCTACACATAAACCAAAAGGCTCCATAGAGTATATGGGTTCAAGTTTGAGAGCAAAACAACACGTAACCGGAACTTTTTCTTCAACAAGACCACTTTTTTTTATCAGTCAACACCACCACTTTATTTAAATTCATGAAGTAAAAATTCCACCAGAGTTTTTTTCCTCAACAAGGGAAAGAAAATGCATGGAGCTCTAAAATGGTGAGAGGTCAAAAGATCTCATAGCTGCTTTGCCCAAGAAAGCAAAGAATGGTGCGCTCCCCGAAACAGTAAGAATAAGGATTAGAGAAGAAAAACAGTATGGAAGTTTCAACATGAAAAATTAGAAGTAATGCAGCCAATGAGTTGTGCATTCAAATATACGGACTAAGACTCGTCTCACAATGGGGTTGGTTACAATAAACAGGAAACTTGAATTGACCTCTGTTTTAAAAGCGCAAGATGCAAAATAGACGCAAGGACCAATTTGAGCCCGAGGCAAAAGACAAGGCACGTGCCTTTTTAAAGCAAGGTGCAAAATTACAAAAAAAAAGGCTAGAAGAACAAAAAATGTCAGAAAATTAAAAGAATTCAAAAAAATGCTAAACAATGCAAAAAATGAAAAAAAATATTAAACACAATATTAAAAAAAATATAAACTTAAATTTTGAATAAATGTTTTAAATAACCTATTATCTAAAATTAAAATACATAAACATAACATGCAAAGCATATTCAAATCAAAATTTATAAATAAAATCAAACATATAAAACATTTTCAAGCATGTAAAACCCACAATCTCTTTTTTTTCCTTAATTGCATTGCTTCAAGTAGTTAATGTGATGTAAAACATATTGCATTCTTGATTCTATGAGTCGCCTTTGTACCACGCCCCTCGAGGCAAGCCCGAACAAGTCTATGTTAGGGCCTGAAATTCTTATTTCTCACATAAAAAATAATGATTTTATAACTTCCATTGCCTTTTAAGAATATATTTTATTCCAATGAATGAATGAACACCATTAGCAAAGACATTGCATGTCTAATGGAGGGTTCCAACTACACCCAAAAAGGGAAAAGGCTCACTCCCAAATAGACTTTGCAAATTGGCAAGACACCAGTAAGTGGAAACCAGTCTCCCTCTCCGCTTTGCAAAGAACACACCAATGAGGTGACAAGCAAGTATTGGGTCTCTTCTTTTGGATCACCAGTGTTGATTCTTTCCAAATAGACTTCCCAACAAAAACTACTAACCCTGGGAGGAATTGGGCTGCACCAAACCTCATTGACGGGGAAAGGGGGGGTAACAAGACTGGTGGATTGGCTTAAGACTTTAAAGAATGAAGCACAAGAAAAAGAGCCAGTGGGGGTAGGGGTCCAAATTCTAGAGTCCACCTTAGTGGGGTCTAGGAAGACATTATCAAGAAGTTCAAGGAGACTCGAAATACTGTCAAGGTCTGAGTCCCTCACAGCCCTTCTCAGACCCAAGTTCCACCCAGGCCCAGAACTAGAAGAGGAAGGGGTGATGAAAGAACATATTGGCTCATTTTTAAAATCAGATAGAGCATACAAAAAAGGAAACTGGTCTTTTAGAGGTGCAATCCCCACCCAAGTTTGTTCCCAAAATTTTATGGAGTTACCTGAATTCAAATCATACCTGATAAGAGGGGTGAAAACTGGTAGCAGATCATGAATGGCTTTCAAAGGATAAGTGCTTGTGGTCCTAGCTCTGATTCCAACATCCCATCCATTTTGCTCCAGCCCATGTATGCTTGCCACTATTCTAGCCCAAAGCTTTTCCTGCTCCAATGGAAATTTCCACAACCACTTCCCCAAAAGAGCCATATTCCTTTTTCTAATGTTCTCGAGCCGCAAACCACCACAGTTGTGTTATTCTTTCTCCTCTTAAACCAAAATACATAAATACCCCTCTATATAGTTGTTTAGAGCTGTTAGGGGTATTTCTATAAAAAAAAGCCCCAAAAAGCTGAAACTAGCCATTGGGGACCCCCCCAACGACTAGTTCAACGGGCAGGCCAAGCGTGGCCCATGTGCTGTGCTGGCCCGTGGAAGTGGAACCCCAGGCCCAACACGGCTCGAACCATTGTATCAGGCTAGGCACAGCCGTCGTGCTGTGCCATGCCAGGCCAATCTAAATTTGGGTCAAGTTGTACCACTTGCTGGCGACACGACCCAATTTACACCTCTAGGTTTGATGGTTGTGTAGGTAACAAAGTGTTTTTCTAAGAAGATGTTTGGTTTGGCAATGGCTCTCTAAGAAGATGTACATGGTAATAAAAATTCTTGGGTTTGGGACTAAGGACTAAGGAGAGGGTTAAGGGACTTTGAAATGGGGTTGGTAGATGAATTTATATCCCTTCTTAGTACAATGCTCTTGAATCATTCTTGTTTGGACTGCAGAATTTGGTCGGTGTCCTCTTTCGGCTCTTCTACTTGTGCTTCCTTTTTCACTGCCCTCCTTCAGTCCTCTAACATGGGAGGATCCTTTCCAACAAAAATAGTTCGGTGTAACCCTATACCCCCCAAAATAAGGGCTTTTTTGTTGGGAGGTGGTGCTCCAGAAAATCAACACTTAGAACAAGCTACAAAGAAGGCCAAAGTGCTGCATCTACCCTCATGTCTGTTGTCTTTCCTTAGGCTGTGGCGAGACAATAACACATTATTATCTTGTCTTTTTGCTTCTTTTGTTTGGAATTAGTTTTCTTCTCTCTTTGGTTCTAGGTGGACCCCTCCTTCAGATGTGGTAGGCCTTTTTAACCCAAGTTTTTTCAAACTACCAAAGAAAAGGGGTGGGGCAATGTGGAGAGCCACATAAGCATCTATACTTTAGTCAATTTGGGAAGACAAGAATAATAGAACCTTCCTTCCGAGGATTAGAGAGATCTAAGGAGCAAGTCATCGATACCATGCTTATGTAGATCATACATAGACTGAAATCAATAGAGTTATTCAAAGATAGAGGGTGGTCAAAGAGAGATCTAAGGAGCAAGTCATCGATACCATGCTTATGTAGGACATTTTTAGAGGGTGGTCAGTAGTGGCAAGTTCTTCAACCATAAAGAATATGGTACAGGTTTAATGGTTACCTTCAACACAACAAAGGGTAAAAGTGAATTTTGGTGGAAGCTCTTTGGGCAACCCGGGTCCCTCTGGAGTTGGGGGGAGCATTCAGAAGTAGAAGGGCAGGTTGATAGCACTATACTCTGGCCCAATGGGTATGGGATATTCATTAAGAGCTGATATTATGGCTTTCAAGGTTTGAGACTGGTCAAGCAATGAGAACTTCAAAATTTGAGGTGGAGAGAGACTCTAAACTGTTAATAGGACAGCTGCAGACAAAAAGCTTGGGGTTTGGAATTTTAAATAGCAAATAGGCAGATTATCTGCTTAGCAAGGGCAGCTGGAGTGCTTTTCAGTTGGACAAGGAGATCAGCCAATGGTTTGGCTGATGCTTTGCCAAAGCAGGGGGACCTTTAGGAAGAATTTGTTTTGGACTGTATTGTAAACCTTGAGATAAAATGTGGGGTCAACACTGTTATTGATTTGACCTGCACTGGTTTCAGTCCTAGAATGAGAGAAAAAGAATAGAAGCAGGAGAGAAGGAGAGAGAAGAGAAGGAAGAGTTAAGAGAGTAAACCGCTGGTTCAATCTAGAGAGAATTCAAATCTTATCTCTCTAGTCGACCAGGCTGTATTTATATGTTTCTAATATGAAATACAATGACAGTTGTGCCCCTAATAAAGTATGGGACGTAACACTTAAAGTGAGACATAAAAGGCATAACAATAAGGATCAATTCAATCATAGGGCTGCAAACAGATCAAATCAGATTCAACTTGGATTAAATTAAATCTTATACATCACATTTAGGGAAGACATAAAATGGATTTGAATATTGAATATCATCAATAACTTAAACTAAAAAAGACCAGAATTCCATATATTATTAGTAAAATGAACTAAAAATGGCATTGATGTTGTATACCATGAATGAATTGACTGGAAAATAACTTCTGAGGCTTGAATCTATGAATCTTCAGTAGGTATACAATATTTTCTAATCGTTAATATTAAACACTGAAATCAACTTTAACAGGCACATTGATTTTATGCAGATATAAGCATATACATTTAAATATTACCAGTTTGGATCATAATGGATCAATTCATATTGATCCCATTATAAACGGGTTGAACTTGGGTCACCATAATCAGACATGGATTTGGATTTAAATTTGGAAAAAGGAATACCATTTGCACCCCCACCACCAAAATGCAAAGAGACTACGATAACTCCACTCCAACTAGAATTTCATCTAATGAGTTGGCTAATCCTTCGACCCATCTGAAAGAGATGTTACATGCAGACAGCAAATTATTGTGCATCCCTTGACTGAAATCAGATTAGCTGAATTTGATAGCTGTTTTACACCAAGGTTTAACATGTCACTGTCAGTGGAAATGTCAGTCATCCAAAGCACGTTTGGCAGATGTGCGTATGCCAAACATGCTTCGGGCTGCTCAGATCTTCATGCAAAAGCTCAATGGAGGGTGCATTTGCCCTTTATATTTAACATTTGAAAGTCAACAAGGTATTTCACTTGGTGAAGAATGACATGAAATCAGAAGAAAAAAATTCTGCTTCTCAGGGTAAAATAGGTATTTTGAAAAAACAAAAAATAATGCATCGGTTAAACATTTTTCATCTGGTCAGTGACAGAAGGGATGTGTGTGTTGAATTTCCCAAAAGTTCAGGGTAGGTTTTTGTTAAAGTAAAACTTTTGAGGGGAGATTTTTATGATTGTCAGAAATTATTATCTTGTTCCAAATCATTAAACAACATTAAAAAACTAAGGTTATAGACAAAATAATGTGTTATGAAATTGTCCTGTAAACTTTTAACAACGAAAACTACATGATAGAATTAAGTTCAGGCAAAATTCAAACTCATAGAAAATGCAAATGATTCCAATATATTAATCAAATAACCTATTACACAAACAAAAACTAACATTTAACTTCCATGATTGAAAAGAGTATCAAGCAAGGTTTGAAATTTCATCATGTATCGGCCAAAACGTATCATACCGATGGGTCACCGACAGAGTAGATAATGGAGCTTTGGGGGTTTGGCGTATTTCAGGAGGTAAAACCTACCCCCTGACCTATTTTTAAAGAAAACTAAAAAAACTGGGTGCAAGGTTTGAAGTACATGTACACGTGTCCCTTGAATCGTATCAGGGTATGTTGATGCTTTAAACCTTGCTATCGAGTTAGCTAAAAGAGGTAATCATGTCCATTAGGTAGGCAATAACATTGTTACTCCACATATCTGCAATATTGTCACCAACTTGTGTTATAATACCATCTCTTAAAATCAACATAGTGCCAATGTGTTTACTAGTGCCAATGGAGCAAAATGATCAGTAACACGGCTTGTAAAACAGCTATCAAATTCAGTTAATTCATTCCCTCCTTAGGTGGTGCCAAATTTTCCAGTACCTAATAATACTATTTTTTCACAAGGAAGGAAACTAGAAATCACATCACAGAAGAAAGAAAACAAAATACTCCCCAACAGTCAACTGCAACTTCATCCATCCCACTATATCTGAGAAATCTCCAATCAACTAACTGATCCTTAGTCCTTGTAATGAAGGGAATATCAGAAACCCCTTGGACAAAGTAAGGATAAAAGCATGTAAAATGACAGGACAATTTCATAATGTCAAACAATCACCAATAGAGCTTATTTTAGAATAGAGCATCCATACCTCATAATACAAACTTCCAGTTCAGGAAAGAAAATTCCTTGGAGAAGTTTAATTTCACCCTTTCCAGCTTAACTTCAAAGAAGCCTCAGGGTAAATTATAAAAGCAAAAGTGATTATAGAGCATAGAATGCAGAATTTATAGGAATGGGATCCTTCTTTTTTTGATAGGCATTATCTTATTACTCCATATAGGGATGATGCCAATACTCAAACATATTTATTTATGAGTCACCTGAGACCTGAGTTAAGAATGCTGAGCTGTTTAAGATGAGCTACATTAGAATATCACTTCAAATCATAAAAAAGAATAAAAAAAAACTGTAACTGAACATAGTAATCACCCAACAACAAATACAGTAAGATTCATCTCAATATTCTCAGAAGTACTTGGCAAATGCCACAAAGCAGAACCAAGAAAAGGGCTTTTACAAGAGTATAATTTATGAAAAGGAAGTTCTAAGATATATTCGAGACATTTCTCAAGGCATGAGCATTATGAAAGCAGATCTGAGAGTTACAAGCATGAGCTAAGTGGATCCATAACTCTAGACCCAGGATAACTAAAAGGGCATACCTTCTGGGAACGCTGTTTGGATTTCCAAATTTGCCATTTGTAGCTGCTGGAGCAACAGCTGGAGTTGTAACATTTGTTCCCACAATCTCTATTTTCATTGGCTTCCCATCAAGCTGAACATTGTTGTATCTCTTCACAGCAGCAAGAGCATCAGCTCGCCGTGAAAATACAACCTCTGCTGTCCCCTAAGAGAGAGAATCATTTTTAATAATGGCTTAACATAAAGATTTACTAAAAGCAGAAAATACCAAATTTGAGAAGATACCTTTGATCTTCCACTCCTATCATAATGGATTGTATATCGCTTCAGGTCACCGACCTCTGAAAAGAGCTCCTGTACAGTGTAAAATTCATATTAAAAACAACATATACATGCAGTACATAACTACTACCATTAAGCATGGAAAAGCACTGCAAAAAGCAGAGCATTACCATCAGCAAATGTCTAAAAATGCGAAGAACTGAGAGCAACGGGACCTTTATATCTGTGTGATACATGTGGTCCAAGCCAACCTCATGGTTACCAATTTTTATGAAAAAGCATCAGATAACTTTAGGACGAGAATACAAATATGCATAAGGGTAGTATACTTTTCGTGTAAGAAAAGTATAAAGAGTAAATGACCGGATAAAGGAATTGTGAATACTTCCATGTAAGAAAAGTACGCTTTCATGTTGCATTCTTATGAATCATTTAAACTATAGATGTTAAAATAAATACCTGAAAACCGCAATTCAATAAGTTAAACCATAATTGCTAGTAAATGTATACATACAACATACACGCAGAAGAGGCATTTCAAGGTGTGCGTATACTTTCTGGAATGAACTTAAGGGTGCCAAATTACCCACATATTGAACATACTCAAGCCCCAATTAATAGTCTTTTCTTGAATATGAGCAAAAATGGTTCCAACTCAGGCCCACAGATTAAAGACCCATTCAGAATCAGGTCTATGGATCTGGTTAGTGAATACCTTACAAACATTTAAATATGTAAACCTTGAAACTTATAGAGCAGAAGAGAGTTAAGTTAATCCACTAGTTTTCAGTTTAATAATTGACTATACGTTCGATGAAATTTAGATTCTAGTATTCCAGAAAAGACATGGATCCAATATAAATGGACCGGGAACCTTTTTTGGATGACAATAAGAGAATTTTTTAGGTTGTGTTTGGTGTAAAAGAAAAGGTAGGGAAAGAAAGGGAAATATAGGGAAACTTAACAAACCTTGTATAGGTTTCCTTTCATTTCCTTTCCTTTCCTTTCCCTACCTTTTCTTTCGAACCAAACACAGTCTTAAGCTTAAGGGAAGAAAAAAAGATACAAGAGGCTTAAGTACCCAGACAAGAAAAGGGTGAGTTTCAAGATCATCACAAATATACAAGACCACCCAAATACAGCCCCAAGAAAACCTCAAACCCAAAAAAAGAGCTCCAGCAATATCTGTCAATTCAATTTGCCTGGAAAACAACACATCATCCCATGGTAGCCTATTAAATACAATAATAGCCATAAAGCCCCAGGAAAAAAAATAACTACACTGCACTAGTGCACTCTCCCAAGTGGAACGCGAGAACACTAAACAACAGCTGGGAACTTGAGTTTTTACCTCTCTGCTTCTACTTCCTCTATGTGTTTCTTCAAACCTCTTGCTGCCTTCTGTGAAACATTGCCCATCATAGCCAGTTCTTCGATATCCTTTTTCTTACACTTCCCTCTAACTGCTGCAGGATCATATGACTCAAAACCATTAGTACAGCTCCTAGAGATCACTGAATCCTCCTTCCTCAAAGCCTCTTGATGTGGCTCATATGACATTGGGATTTATTGTGGCCTCCCTCTAGCTTGGTCTTCTTCCAGAAATTCAAAAGCAGCTGGACCTCTCATATTAACAATCTAACACACCTCATCCATCACTACCTCCTCTTCACCCCCCCCCAATCAGCACTATTCAAGATGAGATCACTTCCTGAGGTGTCAAGATCAGTTTTCAAGCCTTCCACCTTCAACAATGACAACAGCTACATACTACATTTCTCCCTACAATTGTAGGCTCCATTCAAACCATCAATATTATCCAAGCAAGCTTGGACTCCAATCATATCTTCCATTGTTCCACACTTGGCAGTTGGCACTTGTTAACAGGAAAAGCAACAAATATCCAATACGCTCGACCTCAGAACTAGATACACCCTTCCATCAATCAATGCACCACCACCCTGAAAAGAACGCCCATGGCTCAAAACCTCAAACTTAGCTCATCAGCATGCTTTCACTTTGGAAGCTTGATCATCCTTCTGCTACTTCCATCAATGGCAAGCAAAAGAACCACATCGACCCTAATTCATTAGCAATATGGCCTTCTTTTGTATACCCAAAGTGAGACTTTCTATATGCCAAAAATGCCCACTGAGGTTACTCTCATGTGTGAGATGGACATTGTCTAATCACAACCTTCAAATAATCCCAGATCACATCACCAAGGGACAAGCCCCAGTGGTCCAAACCCACCCCATCAAAAGACTGGGTCTAGACCAGTTCCTCAAACCTCGGTTGACCAGAACCTCTTGATCCATCCCTCCAAACCAATATAATCTTGAGGTATGAACTTTGGATACTTCTAGACTTCAATGTCAATTTTAACTTTAAATCATATCCCCTTCCTTAGCACCTCAACACCTGATGCTATGCATCTACTCATTTGCCCCTAGCTCCCCACCAGAACCACCCTAAGGGTTCACCAAAGACCACCACCAGACATAAGGAACACCTTCCAAGGAAGCTCCTTCCAACTTAAGCATCACTATGCTCGACCCATGATTACTAACTACAGCTCTGCTACAACCCTTGCCAACCTCAACGTGATTCTCCTACTCCTATCAGTGCAGATGAGTGAATGCTTCCACCAGCCCCCCATCTGCTGCCGCACAGAAAGCACCACCTGCAGGTAGCCACCCAACAGGAACAAACCATCCCCTTCCTCCTCTAGTCTGAGAGTGAAGCTCAGCCAATAACCACTAATCCCATCATCCTGGTGATAAACCAAACTAAATTTGCCCAAATTAATGTACTTAACAAATCCACCTTCCTCAAACTACCAATAACCACTAATCCCATTATCCCGGTGATAAACCAAACTGAATTTCCCCAAATTAATATACTTAACAAATCCACCTTCCTCAAACTACATTCTCTTAACCCCAAATCAGTATAGCCTTGTACGAAGCACTCAATAGCACCCCATAAACTGAGATTCACCATTGGGCAAAGCTTCTAACTTTGACTAAGCCCACCCAAGTAATCCATCTGAGAATGTGCAAGTTCCATTTATTTAACATATTTTTTCCTAATTTGAGAACTTCTAATGCAGAAGCTGCTGAGGCAAACACAAACAGATCGACCTCCCCACAAAATTCTTTAACGTCTAGAACTCTAGTAGAAACCCACATATCTACTGCTGCAATGTCAGGGTAGTCTTCTTTAAATTTTCCAACCAGACAACACTGGAGAAGACCTTCTCTTCATACAACACCATTTTTGTCAACTACTCGATTAAGAAAACAAACCACTTTAACAAAAGCAAATCCTTCTTCAAATAAGCCAACATCCACAGTGCTCAATAAACCCATTGTTTCCTTAGCTGTTTGGTGAACCAAATGGGTAGCACAGAATGGATATAATACTTCCCAAAGAAGGTAGAATGTTTAATATAGTCACTTGTTACAGGATGGATGTATACTTCCTAGAGAAGGCAGAAATGCTTCAGATAGTCACTCCATGGGAATCTTTAAGTGTTTTCCTTGATCCTCGCTTTAAGGTGAGCATCAAGAAATAAAGCTTTGTGTGCTTCTAAAACACTGCTATCAACAATAGAGGATATTAGTGAAATAAATTGACTTAATCTAAATACCAAGAACAGTGCTTTAGATGATTGCAATGGTAGAAGACACAAACATGTCATTTAATGCATTTTCATCCTCCAAAAAATAAAGATTTATAAAGACATGCTTACAGCATCAAAATGCAGCTACATATCTCTTGACAATAAATCCGATTGAAATATGAGAAAGTAGAGAAGAGAAGGAAAGAAGAGAGAAAGGAAGAAGAAAATGTTTGGAGCAATAGAACAGTGCTAGCGGCACCAGCTTTTATTATATTGTATAGGGCGGCAGAAATAAGAAGGGAAAAGACCCTTGTGCCCCTGCTATAAGTGAGTACAATAACAGACATAGCAGAAGTAAAAAAATAGAAATAAAAAACGCTTTAACTAGCCAAACAGACCCTAACACAAATAACTAAATTATTTCAACACTCCCCCTCAAGTTGGAGCATAGATGTCAATCATGCCTAATTTGTCACACAAATCATTGTGCCGCACATGATGAAGACCTTTGGTGAAGATATCTGCAAGTTGTTCTTCTGAGCTGACATATGGAGTACACACTTATCCATTAACAAGTTTCTCTCTAATAAAATGTTTGTCCACTTCAATGTGTTTCGTCCTACCATGCTGGATTGGATTAGCAGCAATATTGATGGCAGCTTTATTGTCACATTAGAGTGACATAGGATTGCTCACTACAAAACCCAGTTCACCTAACAGATTTCTTATCCACATGATTTCARCAACCCCATGAGACAYCGCTCTATATTCTGCTTCAGCACTAGATCTAGCCACCACACTTTGTTTTTTACTTCTCCATGTGACCAGGTTTTCTCCT